GGGACAGGCTGTGTCTGTCCTGGGAAGTGCCACCAAATTTCTGTGAGGGCCACCTGGCAACTCCCGCTCCTCTTGGTCCCATAGTGAGGCTTTTTTGGTGCCCCAAATTGGTCTTGGAAGATTGTAGGAACTGTAGCAATGTATTTGTGCCTCGCCGTGGGCTTAGAAACTGTTGGTATCTTTGTGCTGACATTTACCAAAAATATTCATCTGGAGGCATATCCTGGCGTATAAATTTCAGTCCAGGGATTTTAATGGGATTTCACAAGCTACTCTGTAGCCCCGATGGTCCTGTAGGACCAGCTGTCTGGGGAATCAGATGTACAGTCCTAGAGGATGTAGACTAAGGGTCCATCTAGATCAGCCTGAATATCTCCAGATGTGGCCACAGCAGAGACCTTGAAGAGAAAGGCCAATATCTGTGCTCCCAATCTGGAATACACTCCCAGCCCCCAACCATTCTCATTTTATGAATTGTCTTGAGCTTCCCCCTCTGAAATTCAAGGCCTGACTCAGCCACTTGGAAATTTCCTTGAGATCACCATGTTCCTTGGCAAGGAGCTCCTGGTGTGAAGAAATTCCTTCTGTTCCTTTTGAACCTGGCTCTTGCCAGCTCCATTGGATGGTCCATGGTTCCTGCTAAGGAGAAACAGGGACTATTTGCTTTGTCCCTCTTTCTAGGCCACTCATCGTCTTGCAGACTCCAATCCCCACGTGGAAAGTCTCAGTTCTTCTCAAAAGTACATCTCATCCGAGTTCTTGCTTGGAGCTGCCCCCCCCGTGATCTCATACGTCCCCCAGTCATTCCATTTCCAGCTGATTTGCTCCCAGTTAAACCCAGTTTCCCACATTAGTGGTTAGAGGTGGTGTGGTGGAGCCTGCTGCCTTCAGGGCTGAGCAGAGGCTTCCTCCTGCATCCCAAAAGTGTCCTGGTGAGGGATCCAAAGATACCACGTGTGATTTCTATCAATAGATGAAACACACCATAAGGCAGAGGTTTCACAGCCTCCATAAATAGCCACTCTTTTGGATGTGTGATGTGGAGGAGGTTTTAGAAATCAAAATATTTAGAGATTTGCATTATTTGTCTTGGCAGGAAGGAGCAGCCAAGACTGAAATACAGAACCTTCAAGGAACAGAGTTGAGGAAAACAGTGAATAGGGGTAATAGCAGAGGTGTCAAAACCTCCAGGAGTTCCTTTTGGGTGAATGGAAGCAGGAAACATGGTGTGTCTGAAAGGAGGGAGGATTCATTGACAATGTTGAGGCACATTTATATTCCTGATAGAAAATACTGATTTTTTCCAAACAAATCTTGACATTTTGATCAAACCTGTAGCTGAATGTTCCAAGAACATCCAGAACACTCAGCTAAAAGCAGCTCTGAGCTGGGCTGTGTTGGTGTGAGCCATCAGTGAGGAGGCTCCAGCTCATTCCCCAGCCTGTTCTCCTCCTCTCAGTTTTATTCTGGTCCCTGTGTGGAGATGTGTCAGAGGAGTGGAAGGTTGGTCTGAACAGGGGACGTGTGGAAGTTTGGGTCTGAGTGTGCTGGTAGGAGCAGGGGGTGGGAGAGGCGGATGTTGGTGGCCCCTGGGTTGGCAGGTCATCACTATCCTTTCCTCATCTCAGCCCGATCTCAACCTCACCTCTCTGAGTGTTTCCCAGTCTCCCAGACAGTCAGATCTGTCTCCAAGCCTTTTTCTAGCATCTCCAGCCTCAACCTGCCCCCTGTACCCTCAGGCAGGGCTGTCAGCCGAGGTGTGTGACCTTGTTGTCACCTCCCCTGTCTCCTGTGCATGGCCAGCCCTGTGGACAGGGGACCAGGAGTTTCATCCACACTTTCCCCAGCATCCCTGAGCAGCAATGGGGGAAAGAGGGTGCCAAGAGCTCCCAAAGCAGGGGAAGTGTGGGAGCAGGGTGAGGGGAACCCTCATGGGTGGGCTGGAGGTGTGACATGGCTGGATTGGGAATGGGGATGGTTGGGAGCTGCTGTGTCTCTGCTGGAGGTGTGGCATGGCCAAAGTGGGAATGGGGGTGGATGGGAGCTTAATTTCCCTTTGAGTTCCTCCTCTGGGTTCCTGCAAGACCTCCACTTTGGGCAGGGGATTCCACTTTGTGATCATCCTCAACAGAGAGACAGGACCCCTTTTGTCGCTGGACCATCAGGAATGGCAGCCTGCTCTCGTGGGTTTCCCATCATGCTGTGGTTGTCCAGCACCTGGACATGTTCATTAGCACCATGGAGACCTCACTCCTCCTCCACTCTCCTGAGGCTTTTCCTGGGAGCCAGCAGAGCCCTCCTGTAGGGATGGAGCATTTCCAGCAGGAGTTTTTCTGCCAGTGCAGTGACAACATTCCTGGCCCAAACAATATGGGCTAAACCAGCCAGTCTCTTCTCTGTGTGTCCATGGCTGGTGGGACAATGACAGAGCAGTGTCAGGAGGGTGTCAGTGCTGGAACCAAATGATCATCTGAGCCAACTCTGCTGTGCCGATGTGCTCATGAGCTCCTGATGCTCTCTGTGACCATCAATGGCTGATTCCTGTGTCCAGGGAGAACTAAGCACTATTTTAGCTGTCACTGATGATGTAGCAACAGAACCAGTTCCCCAAGGACTAGCTGCAAGGGATGGCCAAGGGCAGAAGAGGAGCCCAGATCTGGGATGGCACCACGCTCCACCTTCTGCTCTGCACGTTTATGCACTGATGGCCTTCAGGGCCCCATGGAGGAAGCCCCCGTTGCCTCAGGGCAGTGCTGCAAGTGGGACCCAGCAGGGCTGTGGTGGGCACTGCCTGGTCAGCCTGGCTCAGGAACTTTTCCTACTTCAGTTGCTGTGGCAGAGGTGGAATGTCCCGTTTGCCCGTGACGCAGATGTTCTGGGAAACACGAGTGTGTGGCAACCATGGCCGCTCTCCGTCCGCTGCCGCGACTTCCAGAGAAGAGATCCACCTACTGATTCTCTGAATCACTAATTCTGGGTTCTCTAGAGAGTCCTTTGGTCAGGGGAAAGGAAGCGATAGGTCATATCCTGTTCTCTCTCCTTTCATGGTATCGTACCATTGATGGGCACTGCTCTCACTGGGGCTCTGGACAGTTCCTCCCCAGGCCCGTGTGACACAGCACTTTTCCCATTGTGTCATGGCTTTCACCAGTGTTTCCATCACGTTTCTATTTTTGGTCACTGTCTCCCTCTTATAAAGAGGGGTGAACCCAGGGATCCCACACCAGGCACAGCCAGGGGCACCCTGCACCAGTCCAGCCTGACTCCTACAGCTCATCTCCACCCAACAGGATCATGAAGACCTTCACAGCAGCCCTTGCTGTACTTTTTGTGGCTGTCCTCTGCTACCAGGTCTCCTCTTCTCCAAGTGAGTCCAAGCTCTCCTCTCTGAGGAGCTCTCTCCTCTATCTTTCTGCTGTACAAGGTCTAGTAATGCTTGGCAGCTCTCCCTTCCCAGCACCTGCTGTGGGAAAGGAGACATGCCTTGCCTTGGCTCCTTGATGGGAGGGTGGCTGTGGTGGGAGCCCACTGTGAGAGCAGCACTTCCTCCAGTGGGGATCTTCTCCTCTGACACCACTTCTCCCCACTGGCACTTTTCCTGATCTGGTGTAATCAGAAAAGTTCACTTCTCTTCCAGTTTCTCTCAACCATTTCGGTCCCTGCTGTGCTGAGTTCATCACCAGACCGTTGCCCTTGAAACTTGTGAAGAGCTATGAGCGCACAGGCAGCCACTGCTCCCAGTCAGCTGTGATGTGAGTAGATCTCCTGCCCTGCTCCTGGGGACCCTGCTCGTCCTGGCAGTGCCAGGGAACCCCACATCACACCTCATCCTGATGAGGAAAAGCACCAAGCAGGGCTCTCCCACATGAGGAGAACAGCCTGGGAACAGCTCAGAGGACAATCCCACATCCCAGGCACCCAATTTCTGGATGTCCTCATGAGATTTGAGCCAAAGGAGCTTTTGCTGATCACCCCCCTCATCCACAGATAGTGGGACCCAGGCAGGATGGTGTCCCCAGGCAGGATGCTGGGGACAAAGTGGCTTAAGGGGCAGAGAGCAGGACACCTGTAATGACATTGAGCCACCCCCCCCCCATTTCCCTGGGGCTGTTCTGCAGCTGTGGAGGTGTCTGCTCTGGCGGGGTTCACTGGTGGCAAGGAGCAGATGGTCCCACTCTCCTCTTCCTCTCCATCTCCCGTTCCCCTCTCCCCCTCCTCTGCTCACTGGATTTCCTTCTCCAGATTCACCACCATCAAGGACAAGCTGGTCTGTGCCAACCCTGATGAGAAGTGGGTCCAGGACATGGTGACTCAACTAAAGCACAAGGAAAGCAGTGGATGAGCAAAGCCCTGCTCTCTCCAAGCATTACCTCAGCAAGGACCTGCTCTCATGGGCACCTCTGAGACAAATCCCTGCTTTCTCATTGCCTGGGAGTTTGGCAGAGTATTTAACACAGTGTTTAGCTCTTTTATTTAAGTTTCTGCAAAGGCAATATTAATTTATTTGACATTTTCAGTGAAACTTTTCATTCTCATTTGTACTGATGGTGTTGAAGTTATTTTTGCGTAATAAAAAGGAGCAAAAACTGCAACTTCTCCTGCTGGTTCTTGGGATGCTCCACGGAGACTGCGGAGGGCAGCAGTGACTGGGTCCAGGCTGTCACTCGGGGTCTGTGGGTGGCGGGGTGGCACCTGGCTGTCCCTCAGCCCCTCTGTGCATCCTGCCTGTCCCTCCTTTCTCCTACCAGGCTGTGCCTGAGCCCCATCCCAGCCCATTCCCAAACTCCCGCTCTCTGCGGTGGCTGGGTGTCCTGGGGGATGTTTTGGTGTGATGAGGTGAGGGGGTCACTGACCCCAGCCAGCACCTCCAGGCAGTGGGCAGGTGACATCGGGGCTCCTGTTGTCCAAGGACTGCTCAGCAAACACCAGAGACACCCCAAATCCTCCTCCACCCCCAGCCAGTCCATGGCCACGGGTTATTTCTGGCGCTCCCCAGTCTGTCCCGCTCTCCTGGCAGGGTTTTCCTTTCGCTTTGACCCGCCGGGCTGGACGCAGTGCCAGCCTTCGGGGCTGGCTGCAGCTGTCCCGGCCCGTGCCAGCTCCTCCCCCAGCCAGCACGGAGCCTCCGTGGCCGGTGCCACACGGCTGCAAGGCCGGCTCGTCCTCCGGGCTTCCATGGCACTGCTGGAGCTCCCTGGCTGTGGGGCTGTGGCAGCCTGGGAGCCGGCCTTGGCTGGGTGACACCGGAGGAAGGAGGCAGCCGTCGAGGCCACCATGGCCCTGGCAGGTGCCCTGGAGCGGCTGCAGGAGGAGGCCATCTGCCCCATCTGCCTGGAGTACATGAGCGAGCCCGTCAGCATCGACTGCGGGCACAACTTCTGCCGGGGCTGCATCGCCAAGCACTGCCAGGACAAGGGGCTCTGGGCCGACGGGCCCTTCTCGTGCCCGCAGTGCAGGGCCTCCTGCCACCGCAGCGGCCTCCGCCCCAACCGCCAGCTGGCCAACATCGTGGAGGGCATCCGCCAGCTCGGGCTGCGGGGTGGCCTGGGAGCCGAGCCCGACCCGGGCACCCCCCTGTGCCCGCAGCACGACGAGCGCCTCAAGCTGTTCTGCGAGGAGGACGAGGAGCCCATCTGTGTGGTGTGCCGGGAGTCGCTGCTCCACCGGCCGCACACCGTGTACCCCATCGAGGAGGCGGCGCAGGCCTACAAGGTACGGCAGGAGGGGGCACCGGGGGGCCCTGGGCACGGCAGCTCCAGGGGGGGTCACCCAGCAGGACCCCACCACCCCTCTCCCAACAGCACCGGTGGCACCGCCGGGAAAGCAGAGGAGGGGGTGGCAGAGATGGTGGCACCCATCCGGCTGCTGGGATAAGGCCGGACCCGCTGTCTCCCAAACTGTAGATGGATCCAGGCTAGTCCCTGCGCATCCAGCTCAGGATCCAGGCTCATCCAGGCTCACCCTGTCCGTCTAGCTCAGGATCCAGGCTCACCCTTTCCATCCAGCTCAGGAGGCAGCCTGGCTCCCTGCCCCTCCAGGACCCCCTGGAGAAGCTGGGGCAGTGCAGACCCTCCAGGACCCCCTGGAGAAGCTGCCCTGAGGACATTTCCCCTCAGGTGCAGCAGTGCTGGCACCAAAACCCCAAATGCCCAGCGGGCAGCACCACCAGTCACCCTCCACACCTGCATTGAAGGGGAGCTGTCACTTTGCCCTCTAGAACATGAAAAGTGAGAAAAAAATACAGTGAAAAGCTGAGGAGCATGGGGAGGGTTAACGCTGCGGGTGGAGTGAAGAGCACAGCTGCTGGGTTCGGGTGCCAGGACTGGCACTGCCTGGCACTGGGTCACTGTCCCCTCCGGGCAGAGGGGACCCAGCCAACCTGCCCTGCTCAGCGGGTGCTGCTGGGGTGAGCTCAGCCCATGTTCCCTCTTTTCAGGTCAAACTCCAGAAATCCCTGGAGAATCTTTTGAAGGAAGCGGAGGAGGTGAAGAAGCGTGAGTCAGCAGAGAGGATGAAAACCCAGGAGTGCAAGGCAGGTGCCTGGCTTAATTCTTAAAGAATGAGCTTCAGAGACATCAGCAGTTAAAAAAAAACATCCTGAAGGGTCTTGTCTGGGGACATGGATTCACCATAATCTCCAGGATGGGACATGTCCCCCTGTCCTGCTGTCAGATGTAGGAGCTGTGCTGGAAACCAGGCTCAGAACCGCGTGTGGCTTTGTAAAAAGGTTTGGAAGGAGAAGCGCTCCAGTTTCCCTGGAATCACGAGGGCTTTGTGACGGTTGAACAATCAGACACAGGATGTTTTTTATTGCCTTTTGTTTTACAACATGTGCTTGAGTTCCAAGCCAGGTGTGAGCCGTGTGGTGAGTTCTGCTCCACGGCAACAGGAACTAGGAGTGTTTCCATTAAGAAAAGAAAAAAAAGCTCAATTACTGCACCTCTGCCTGGCTCCAGATGGTTCTGGGGAGAGCAGACGCCAGCAAACAGCTGCATTTCATGTCCCTCAGGGTGAAAGCTGGAAAGTGAAAGTAACTGCAGAAAAGGAAATGAAACTGCCAGCCCAGAGTTATCCAGCCCTGAATCTGAGCTGAGGATTAATCAGCTCTGGCAGAGAAAACAGGATTCTCCACACTCCCCTGGTTGATTACTCAGTTCCCTTGTCTGGGCAGCCCAGCCAAGGGGTGGTGGGATTTTGGGATGCCCCTGTGAGCCCACTGTCCCTGTTGGAGCTGGGGATGGAGATTGTGAGGGCTGTGTCACTGTCCCCCCACTGTGAGATCCTGAGTCAGGGCTCAGCTGCAGCTCAGCTGCCTCCAGCTCCCTCTGGTCATGCTTTTGTAGTAAAAGGAGAAAAAAGTCCCTTGTGAGTGCTGGGGGAAGTGGCTGTGGCTGTCCTGGCTTACGAAGTCTCCAGGACTCAGGGCCAAGGAATCATGTGCTTGGATGAAAAAGTAAATGGAATTTAGTTTCCTTTATCTTCTGCATTCTGAGGTTTCCTCACTCGAGCCACTGTGGGGTGTTTTCCTGCTGCTCCAGGGTTCCAGGAAAGTGTCAATTTATAGGAATGAGGGGAAAGACTAAAGCACTGGCAGAGCCTTCCTGTTGCTGGCCCCTCACCCTGCAGTGGGACACGTGGGGAACCCTCCCTGGGTCTCCCTTTCCATCCCTTCCCAGCCCTGGGGCTTTTTTACATGGACGGATAGTGACAGGACAAGGTTTTAAACTAAAAGAGGAGAAATTTAGGTTGGATGTTGGGAAGAAATTCCTGGCTGTGAGGCTGGGGAGGCCCTGGCACAGGGTACCCAGAGAAGCTGTGGCTGCCCCATCCCTGCAAGTGTCCAAGGCCAGGTTGGATGGGGCTTGGAGCAAGCTGGGCTAGTGGAAGGTGTCCCTGCCTGTGGCAGAGAGTGGAAGTAGAAGGTCTTTAAGGTCCCTTCTAAGCCAAACCATTCTGTGATTCTATGATTCTTCCAGCTCTTTCCCTTTGCTGTGGGTTTTTCCAGCTGCCCAAGCAGTGGATTAGCCTGGATTTGGTTGGAGGTTCGAGTTGTTCCTCCAGCTGTACCTAATAAAAACCTACCCTGGCACCTGAAGGCATCTCCTTGCAGCCCAACAGCCCTCCCAGACATCTGGGGTCCAGCTGAGCAGAAATGCCCTGGGGCAAAGTCTTGCTGTTGGTAAACTGAGGATGTGGAGCAGGAATTTCGGTGAGGTGGAAGCACAAATTTCCTCTGGCTGCTTTTTAAAATTCATGCACCTAAGTCAAAAATGTGGTGGTTTCCCAGGGCCTTTCCCAGCTCCATCTCAGCTTCCTGGCTAATATTTTCTCTCTTCACCTCACATATCTTTTCATCACAAGGAGATGGTGAAGAAAAAGCGGGAGAGGATCGTGAGCGAGTTTGGGAAGCTGCATCGGCTGCTGGCTGATGAGGAGAAGCTGCTGCTCCAGACGCTGGAGGAGGAGGAGAAGCAGATTCTGCTGCTGATCAATGAAAACCTGGCCAGGCTGGTGGAGGAGAAGTGCTTGCTGGAGGACCTGATCCTGGAGATAAAGGAGAAGAGCCAGCAGCCGGCTGACGGGCTGCTCAAGGTCAGGCCATGCCACCAGCCCCGCTGCCTCAGCCCTGGGGCCTTTGCCACCTGGGGTTGGCTGGTGGGCACGAGGGGCTGAGCCACACACCCAGAATGGCTTTTGTCTTCTCCTCCTAGGACATGAAAAGCATCCTGAGCAGGTGGGTACCTGTACTCGTTCTTGGTAGGTACCATGATTATTCCTCATAGGTGTCCATGATTATTCCTGGTAGGTATCTATGACTATTCCTGATAGGGACCATGATTGTTCCTCCTACTGTCCTGGCTGCTCCAGGTTCTGAGGGAGATGTTTGTGTCTGCTCCACACCAGCCACCTTGTCCTCCCTGTCCAGCGTCTGGTTTGGTCCTCCTGGGGTAGACACAGGAGGGACTGAGTCAATCCTTCAGAGGTTCCATCCTCTTTTTCCAGGGGCTCAGAGCCAAGGTCTTGCCTGGCTTGTGACATGTGAGATATGTCCCCTCTTAAGGGACATGCTGCCCGGTGACCTTGCTCCTTCCTTCCCTGGGACTGGCACTGCTGCTCCCTGGATCATTTTACTCCAATCCCATCAGGATTGCTGATATGGTTTTCCCTACTGCTCATCCCAGCCACGGAGCTCCAGGGAAGCTCCAACAGAAGGGCATTAACGCTGCTCCCAGCAGGAAAGGGGCTGTGCTGTGAGCTCTGGGTACAGCCCATGGGCATCCCTGTCTTCCCAGGTGTGAGGAGGTGAAGTTCCATTCCCCCAAGCCTGTGTCAGTGACCCTGAAGGAAAACTACAGCATTCCTGAGCGGTGCCTGGGCATGAGGGACATGCTGAAGAAGTTCAAAGGTAAGGGGCTGCTTTTGTGCCAGCCCCTGGCACATTTGGGTTCTGGTTGCCCCCATACCCCAGGGCACGGGGAGGCTTTTCCAATAAGCTTTGTCCAGCTGCTCCCACTTTGTGCACTGATGAGTTCAGGACAGTTTCATGGTGGGGAGACCTTCCTTGTTGTGGTCTTGGGTGGGCTGTGAATGGATCCTGAAGGCTTGGAGGTCACTCAGGGGTTTGAGGCACCCTGTTGCCCATGAACTCTTGCTTTCAGTGTTGGCTCTCTCTGAAGGTTCTCAGCCACCCTCGTTCTGCCCCTGCTCTGCAGCAGATACCAAACATCTTGATGTGGTTTATGGTTATCTCGAATTTCTACATTGCACTTCCCCACTGCCAGGGGCTGAGCAAAACCACAGGCACGAGTAAACAACCGTGGGAGGCTGGAAGGTCTGGGGGAGCCCAGCACCCACAGAAACACAGAATAGCTGAGGTTGGAGGGGACCTGCAAAGATCGTCTGGTCCAACCCCCCTGCTCAAACAGGGACACCTGGAACTGGTTGTCAGAACCTCATCCAGGTCACAGGCAACCAGCAGTAGGACAAGAGGGCACAGTCAAGCTGCGACGGGGGAGGTTTAGGTTGGACATCAGGAAGAAGTTCTTCACAAAGAGAGTGATCAGATATTGGAATAGGCTGCCCAGGGAGGGGGTGGAGTCACCATCCCTGAAGGTGTTTAAGAAGAGCCTGGATGTGGCATCAGTGCCATGGTGCAGGTGACAAAGGTGGGATTGGGTCAAAGGTTGGACTCAATGATCTCACAGGTCTCTTCCAACCTGGTTGATTCTGTGATTCGATGATTCTGTGATTCTGTGTCCATGCCTGCAGACCCCTGAAGCCTTGTCTGTCCTTCCACCCTTCTCTCTCTCTCCAGTGGACGTGGTCCTGGACCCCGAGACGGCTCACCCGGAGCTCAGCGTGTCCGAGGACCGCAAGAGCGTGAGGCGCGGGAGCAAGAAGCTGCTCCTGTCCCTCTTTGACAACCCCAAGAGGTTTGGCACCGCCCCAGTGGTGTTGGGCAGTCAGAGCTTCTTCTCAGGCCGCCACTACTGGGAGGTGCAGGTGGGAGACAAGCCCGAGTGGGGGCTGGGGCTGTGCCGGGAGTCCGCCGGCCGCAAAGGCACCGTCCTCTTCTCCCCAAACAACGGCTACTGGGTGCTGAGGCTGCAGAACGGGGGCATCTACGAGGCCCTGACCTCCCCCATCTCCCCCCTGACCCTGAGTGTGAGGCCCCGGCGCGTCGGGATCTTCCTGGACTACGAGGCAGGAGAAATCTCCTTCTACAACGTCAGCGACCGCTCCCACATTTACACCTTCACCGACCGGCTCACCGGGAACCTCCGGCCTTTCTTCTTCCTGGGGGGCTTTTTGGGGGGCAGAAATGCAGAGCCCTTGGTGATCTCCTGGGTCAGGGATACTCAGGGGACTGGGTGTGTCATCCTGTGACAGCGGCTGCCCTGGATTCTCACCGGTGGGCAGAGACCTGGGAGCCCAACCGGCTCCTCTGGTGAACAGGAGCACCAGGGAAACACCTCTGTGCCTTGGGGAGGGTCCTGGCAGGATCCCTGCATGGTCCTGGCTGCTGGCTGGGCATGACCTGCTGCATGTGACACCCATCGTGAGCCACGTCCGTTCTGGGAGGGGCTCTTTGTGCCGTCACCCTCTGTGCCACCAATGGGGACAGGGGAGTCCCCTGATCACTGGTGCCCTGGTGCTCATCTCACAGGCTGCTGGAGAAGGATATGAGCCCAGCCTGCCACGTAGTGCTGATTTTGGTGTGAATTATATCAGAATAAGGCAATAAAGGGTTGATTTGGGGAGCCTTGTGTGGTTTAAGGTGTGGTTTTGTGATGCGTCCATCCCTGATAACCCAAAACATTTCAGAGGGCAAAGGGTGCTCCTGGACCTGCTCCTCTCCAGCCCAGAGAGCAGCTGGTGGACAGAAATCACAAAGCTGCTCAATTTGAGGCCAATTGAATTCAAATAAAATGAGAGTTGGTAAAACACAGCCTGAAACACTCAGCACAATTTATCATTGAATCTTCGAATCACAGAAGGGGTTGAGTAGGAAGGGACCTTAAGGGACCCTGTTCCACCCCCCTGCCATGGGCAGGGACATCTTCCACTAGCCCAGGTTGCTCCAAGAGCCCCATCCAACCTGACCTTGGACACTCCCAGGGATGGGGCAGCCACAGCTTCTCTGGACAACCTGTGCCAGGGCCTCACCACCCTCACAGGGGAGAATTCCTTCCCAATATCCCTTCCCAATATCCTCTGGCAGTGGGAAGCCATTCCCCCTTGTCCTGTCACTCCAGGCTCTTGCAAATAGTCTCTTGAATTTCTCTGGGATGTCCTGGATGGTGCTTTAGGAGTCTCCTGGTGACAAATGGTGCTGGACTGGGATAGCAGTTTGAGTTCTGTTGTGTTTCGGGGAGTTCCACCCTCCTGCCTTCAGCTACAGGGTCTGTCTTTTGGAAACCACAGGGCAGAGAGATGAGCCCAGTCCCAACTTTGCCACATCCCAGGAAGGAGGAGGGTGATGGGTCTCAGCGGGATCTGCAGTGCCTTGACACCACGGCCATCTGACATGGAGATAATGATTTTGTGTCAGCTCCATGGAGAGGGAGTTTATGGAATCTGAGGAGGTAAGAAAGGACATGAACTTTGAGGTCTTACAGAGGGCTGGAAGCAGAGGCAGTTGGAAGGGGGGAGTAGTGAGGACAGCCAGGAAAACCTGTTGTGCAGGGAAGAAACCAGGCCAAATGTCACTGGGCCAGGGGTGGGATGAGGTGGCGGGATGGAAAGTGTCCAGAGAGCAGATGAGTGGCACTTGCTGCAGCACTGGGGGGGGTGAAGTGTTTCTAAAAGAGCAGGAGGAAGTGCAACAGTTCGGAGATCTTGCAGAGAGAGGGAAAAAATGAATGAGAAGGAAGAATGTGAACTCACCCTGATGCAGCATCCAAAGTGTTTCTAGAAATCATGAATCTGCCTTGCCAGGAAAGACAGTGGAGGTCAAAGGCATCAGAGAGCTCTGAGCAGGCTCCCAAGTTTTCCAGCTGGTGGACTCTCTGCATCACCTGCAACTAAGGAACTGCTCAGGGCAGATACCAGTGTGATGCCCAGACTGGTTGGCAATGGGCAGCTGGAGAGAAGCCAGGAGCACTGGGATCTGGTTTTGGGAGCTCCCTGCTGTCTAAAAGTGATCTGCAAGCAGGATTTCTGGTTAAGTCATGGCAAGTGGAGCTTGTCCCTGTTCTCCTCAGTGGAACTGCATTGATTGCCTGGCTCTGGCCTCCACACAGACCCTGCAAGGCCCAAGTCCTGCTCAGCCTCAGCCAAGGGGGGGATGGCTGCACAGCACAGGATAGAGCCACAGGATCATGGAATCATTTAGCTTGGAAAGGACCTCTAGGGCCATAGAGTCCATTATCCCAGCACTGCCAAGGGCTGCTCTGCTCAAGGTGTCTGCCTTGGCTGAAGGAAGAAACCCCTCAGGATACCACATCTGGCAGAGTGACCATGGGTTGGGTGTTGCTATTTTTTGAGCAATCAGTATCTTAATGTCACATTTTTAGGCTCAGTTTTGTCACCCAGACGGACTGACAGCGTCCCCTGTTATGACTCAGCACAATTTACAGCTCTGCAGCTTTAGAAATGTGCTTTCTCAACAAGTTACATTTTCCTTTCTCTTCCAGTAGAAAATGTTTTGTCGCCTCAGGGGGATGTGAGTCATTGTCTGCTTCTTTCTAAGCACTCAGCAGAAAAGGCCTTTTTGGTCTTCGTGGCCACTTCAGCCTTCTCCTGGCTGTCACAGGGAAGGTGACAGCCAGGCACCATTTCTGCCATGATACTTCCATGTCTTCCTCGGCCCTGGAAGTCTGGGATATCTCCCTGCTTTAGGAAAACACTGCTTTTGTATGCAGCCTGCCAACTCATCCCTTTTTACATCACATTTTTGGATTCTGGCCCCTCAGAAATGACACACTCCCTGACTGTGGTGTCTCTGGGAAGAGCTGCTCTGGGTGTGGGATGAGCCTCCCCTCCCTGTGGCAAACCAGGACCTGGTCCCTGGGATAAGGCACAGAGCTGACACTCCTGAGTGCACAGGGATTTTGCCTTCAGGGTGTCTCATTCCTCTCTAAAAAAGTGGAGAGGGAAAAGCCATCAGACCACGAACCTTGGCTGCCATCAATCCACATCTCCATCAGCACAGCCCAGCTCCTCCTCCTGTGGGATGCCAGACTCCAACCTCCAACTCCTCCGGCTTTTGTTGTGCCTCAAAATGCCTGTGGACACACCAGATGTAAACAACTCATATAGAGATGTGCACGGATGTTACAATAATGATGTGATTCTTACCGCAGTAAGGACTTGATTTCAGTAAATTAATGACTTAAATTCAGTAAATACCACACTCTGGTTTCAGGATGAGTCCCTCTCTTAGTAGTTTACAAATTCTGAAACCCTTGACAGCATTGTTCTTGTTTTGATCTGAATCCAGAGGAAACCCCCTCGAAAGCCACCCTCCTCTGGGGTCCCAGCCCCTCTTTCTCTTCATCTGCTGCCTCAGCCTTAGTGCCCTCTGCTTTCCTGTGTTCCCCTGCCTGAGCTCCTCACAGGGCTGTTTCTGGGGGGGATGAGCACCACAAATAGCCATGAGCTTCCCAGGGAAAAATTTCCTCCCTGTGAGGGTGGGGAGGCCCAGGCCCAGGTTGCCCAGAGAAGCTGTGGCTGCCCCATCCATGAAGTGTCCAAGGCCAGGTTGGACGGGGCTTGGAGCAGCGTGGGACAGTGGGAGGTGTCCCTGCCCAAGGGGTGTAATGACATGATCTTCAAGCTTCTTTACGATTCTTTCTCTATGATTCTACAACCCAAGGGCTGCACAGTGTGAGGGTTTCCTTGCATTCCTCAGCTTTAGCAGCAAAATCAGCCCCAAAAAGCTGCATCGACAGCAAATACAGCCCCTGCTCCGGGCAGGGGGATCCCTGGGTGTGGATTTGAGCTGATGGTGACATGGGTAGTGCAGCTCCTGCCTGCTCTGGGCCACCATCCTCACTGCTCCTCCTCTGCAGAGCGTGGGGGCTCTGGAGATGCCCAGGGATGCTCTCCCCACACACACACTCCTCCTGCCTTCGCCTCTCTCGTGCAGGCTCCATTCACACCTCAGTGCCCGGGGGGGGTGAATTTACAGCACTTCGGGTCCCTCCCCGGCACTCTGCAGCTCCTCTGAGCTGTCACACGTGGGTGGGTGTGAGATCAAGGCAGACATGAGCAATTCAGGGCTCCCTCAGGCTCCCAGAATAGTGGTGAGGAGTGAGCTGAGGTACCCGCAGCGTGGCTGCTGTGGGAGGCTGGAGTGTGACCCGGGTGGTTGAGGACATTGCACAGGGGGTTGTTCTCCGCCCAGGCTGGATGATGCTCCCTGGGTGACCCCACACCCTATGTCCTTCAACAAGAAACCCCAAGCCTGTGGGACTGCCCCCACAGGGGCAGATGGGGCTTGTATTCAAGAGGGACAGTGGAGGCTCAAGTGATTTTGGGATGATCCCACTGCAGGTCTTCCCCCTCCTGTCCCCTGCTCCTGCTGTCCCCTGGAGTGAGGCAGCTCTGGGCACTTGGCTTTGTGCCAGTCTCAGCCCTCAGGGTGACGTCTCTGGGCTCCAGCACTCTGCTGGCTGGTACCCAACGGCCCAGGTGTTTTCACCTCCAGCATGGCCAGGATGATCCCTGCTCCTGGAGCTGGTCCTGGGGTGTGCAGGGCCTGGGGAGTCCAGGTTTGGACCAAAGCCACCACCCCCACATGCAGCTCTTTGTCCCCAGGGTGATGTCCACCCCCCCAGCCAGGGGCTCCCTCCCCTCAGGAGGAAGGGGGCTCTGCTCCTGCTCTCCACCTCCCTCCCCTCCTCCCTGGGTGCTATTTTGAGTGGATGCAGTGCGTGCTGTGGTGGGATGACTGATGGCATTCACGCTGCCCCGTGGGCTGGGGAGCCAGGGGCTGCAATTCCTGAAGTGACAAGATGTGCTCCTTCCTCCCCCAGACACACCCACGTCCACCTGATCCCTCCCAGCCCCACCCGAGGCTCCTCTGACTGCTCATCTCCCACCCAGCCTCTGTGTCTGCTCCTCTTCACCCCTGCCCGGGAGCCCCCCTCCAGCTCTGCCCCCCTGTGTCACCCTGGTGGTCAGTTTGTCCTCCCAGGTTCAGTCTGGAAACGCTGTGGGGTGAGCTGAACCTTTTCTCCCTTGGGAGAAACCCAAATCCTCCTTGTTCATCCAACAGAGCCTGTCCAGAGCTGACCAGAGCAACCCAAATACCAGCAGTGGGGTGGGAAATGCCATCAGGGATGTGGGAAATGCCATCAGGGATGTGGGAAATGCCAGCAGGGATGTGGGCTCCATCTCCTTCAGCTCTGGGGGGACCAGTGGAGATGTCTCCTTGCAGGGGCAGGTCCTGCCCTGGGCTGGGGTCCAGCAGGGTGATCTCTGGAGAGGAATCCCCAGGGATGGGCAGGTTTTGGGGACACAGAGAAAAAACACCTTTTCTCCTGAGAGGGAATATCTGCCAAGCCCCATGTCCCAGGTAAATGAGAGCTAAATGAAATAGTTCTAAAAATCTCGCAGGGAAAGGTATTTTTTCCACCCTTAGCTCTGGGAGTAGCTGATCCATTTTAGCTGCAGCTCTCAGAAAGCTTTCCCTAAACCAGCCAATGTGTTAAATTTCAGGCCCTAAAGGTAATATTTAATTGATTATAATGGGGCCAGGGATGGAATTTAACGAGCTGCCAGTTGTCATAACGAGTGGTGATTAAATGCTTTTTAAAAGTGTGAGCCGAGCT